ACTCATGGTGCATTCCAAGTATTTCTCCTCTTCATCCTTGCCTTTTCATTAAAATAACAATGTCAACTACATATTTTTCTCTTTAATATTTACCTTTTCTCCTTGCTTTTCTTTCAAACTCATACTCTCACGTTTTAAAAAGTTCTTCATTGCGTAATTAACTTATTATGACGACATCTTTTTCAACTATAATCATACAAAACATGTAATATATCAACAAAAATGTCATTTGACAAATATAATTAACGTATTTGATTGTTTTTTTGTTGTTGTTGTTGTGAGATAGATATTTTCAAAAACAAACTAAGAATTTGGTAGGAGCAAATGAAACAACATGTACCATTAAGACAGGTAGAAAATAACGGATTGATTAATAGAATTTAACTTTAAATCTAAGTTTACTTTAAGAGTTTTAATATGAAGTTTATCCTACTTATATAATATAGGATTTTTAGGAGACTTCCTCCACACTAAGACACATGTACATCTTAAATATGAAACTAAACATTTATTAATAGTTTGATTATAATAAAAAAAATTTGTTAAGATAAATTTTAAAATTTTGATTTAAGAAATAAACTTTAAGTTTATTTCAGTCTCACAAAACTTACTTTTAAGTTATTTACATTCAATTATGTAATTAGTAAGTGACGTGAAGGTGTGTGTTGAAAGACCAAATTATAATAGATATAAGTGAGATACAAATTTCGTCTTATAAATCGATTTTCAGTTTTGTAGGATTGAGTTATGCTTAAAAAATCACTTTCTAATAATCTACTAATATTTTCAAATAATAACCTAAGTAATAAAAATTTTCTCCTGTTCTATCTTGTTAACTCATTTGATATGTATAATACATCTGTGTGACATTATTGATAAACTTTAATCGAAGTAAAATCTTTAACTATAATTAAGTAGATATAACCCTTTGCAAAATTATTTATTAATAACCTTATCCTTATTCATTAAACCCTAAATGCTAACTTATAAATTAATTATGGAGAGGAATAAGAAGTCCGATATATAGTATAGTATAGTTCAGCCCACTAACGTGAGTCACTATATAGACAAGAGGAAGGGATGGTGGGTGGTATTATCAAAGGTTGGCTTGACCACCCTCAACCTCAAACAGAAGCAACAATGGATAAGTGAGTGAATGGGTAGTTTCTTAATTATAGTAAAAGATGGATATATATATATATATAAATATAAAATAGGCAGGTCCCCACCACATTTTCCGTCACAGAGAAACATGTTGTAACAACTGTGTTCCGCGTGTCAGTGTTGGTGCGCACGTGTACATGTCGCCCCAATATGACCACAACACCCCAACTTTCCGCGCGTGCTGTGTTTATTTCCCTAAATTCCTACTTCCATTTGTTCTCCAAAATGCCAAAACCTCATTCACCAACAATGGGCCCCACCACAAAACATGCAGCAACATGGTACGCCAATGGTACCACCAATCCCACGGAACCTCACTCTCTTTTTCCTTCATACTCCTAAAATCTTATACATTTTCTTAACCAAATCAAATATTACAAACTCCTACATTCAATGTATCTTTTCAATACAAACTCCATCTTTATTTAGTGCATGCATGTTTTCATCCACATGCTAAACGTAAACATATCTTATACACCTATTTCAATCCTAATTCATGCTTAATTCATGATTTATGTTTATTAACTGGACACTTACATTGGGTAAGTGAATGGGACAACTTTTTATTACGAATGGAAGCATCACAAGCTTTTGCTATTAGAGTCAGTTTAGAAGTTAATTTTAAGTTTTCTTATAATAAATTTAGCTAATTTGAGACTACATATCTTTTGTAATACGCACTTATTCTCGTTCCTACGACGAGTAGTCCTTACACTCTTCATTTTCTTCATAAATATTAGTTTGTAAGTTAGAAGTATTATGAATTTTAAAATACTATGATTAAACTACATATTACCAACCGATAAATAAAATATTGAGTTAGAGTTAGATAAAACGAGTCATTAAATAAATTGTCTTTAAGATAATGAGTTTTGATTTAAACTTCTCCTGTTAGAAATATATTTACTCTTGTTCAAATTACATTATATCAGAGTACATAAAAGTGCTATGAAGAAAATAAACTTCTTGAAATTATTATCTAACTTTGTTCAAATCAGCAAGATTGTGATAAATAGCGAAGGATATGAATGAATTGGAGAAAAAAAAAGAGAGGATCAATTCAGACTTAGTGAGTAGGAGGATTAAAAAAGGAAACTAAGTGATAAATTTCTAAAAATAACAATGTATAATAAAACTTTGTTGATAATAAAGAAAAAAAATAACTAATCTTTTACCCTAGTTCTTTTTTACAATATTATTATTTAATTTTTATGGAAATTTAGATGCATAACATTTTGAACTAATGAAAAGTTTTTATTAATTTAAACCTAGAGATTACCACACGAATACCTAATAAAAATTTAATGTATACAACATTTATCATAGCAAAATTACAGAAAAAAAGAAGAAGCCTAGTGGGTCCATTAATTATCCCTAGAAATAGATGTTAAATTCATGGTGTTATTATCAAAATTTACACCAAATTATCATTTTTTATATATCAACTATAAATTCATTCATTAAATTTAAATTCTATCTCAATTTCTATAGTATTTTTTTAGGGACATGAGATGTAGGGCGCATAATAGATCTTAAAATGTTTTTCTTAACTTTTTTTTTAAATAAATAGCAAAATTTTAAAGAAGTTTCAATATGATTAAATTATGAAATCCTATTTAAATACAATATAATTTGCTTTCAAAAATATTTATCTATTAAAATAAAACTAGAAAATATAATAATACTGTTAATTAAAATAAGAAACAAGTAAACAAAAATATCAAAATGATATACATAAAACAAATAATTTTTATATTAGTTTATCTAATTCAACTACTTGGAATCTATAGAAATTTTTATTTTCCATTTTTTATTTCTCTAAAATAACTCAAAGTAATCAAGTTAAATATGAGAAATAACAATTGAAAGTACATGTAGCCCAAGCTAACCGGAATTGTTCAAACCAATGAGTATTAATTTCTAAATCAAATTAATCCTTTAACCAACCCTAAGAGAATTTGTTATTTTTAAGATAACACGTATTTCTAAACAAGATAAAACTTTTCAATATCCATATTACGCAATCAATGAATATGATCAAGATCAAGGGAAAGTTTTAGAAAGTGTAAAACATACTGACTTGAGGTCAACCTAAATTTGAAAGATGTTAAGAACCCCTTATTGGATTAAGGCCACTAAGTCCTTAAGGTCCAATGTCCATCCTTAAAAACATAACACATGTAATGAAATAAAAAAAAGGACAAAATAAAGATATTATTATCTGAATATATATATATATATATATAAAATATTGTGGATTTGACATGTTGAATTTGAAGACTACATTAGTGTCACATAAAATGACATGTTGTCGGTAAAGTATATTAAACTATTTGTGTTATTAGAGATGTGTATGTAAGCATATCCAATAGTATAAGCATTAGCAATAATAATAATATTGACACTAGGTAAATATCTTAAATTTTTGNTACTATAAAAATATAATATATATATATATATATATATATATATATATATATATATATATATATATATATATATATATATATATATATATATATATAACATTGTGGAGCAAAAAGGGTGAGGCCCATATGCTGAATTTGAAGACTACATTAGTGTCACATAAAATGACATGTTGTCGGTAAAGTATATTAAACTATTTGTGTTATTAGAGATGTGTATGTAAGCATATCCAATAGTATAAGCATTAGCAATAATAATAATATTGACACTAGGTAAATATCTTAAATTTTTGTAGATTATGTCAAAATCATGAAAGTTTTTCCTCTTGTATAGTTTTTAATGTTTTTAAAAAATAATTTTAATTAGAAAAAACTAGCCGTAATATGCTGTAAAATAATAATATTAAATAGGAAAAAAAAAGTCATATAATGATGAAACAAAATCGTAAGATAAAATTTGTGACGAGAATTAAATATTAAATGAATATTTTAATGTATATTAGTATGTAATAAATAACCACTAAAAAATAAATTTATTGATGATATTATAAAATCGGTTTGCATAAATCAATATTATCGAATAAAAAAATTATTAATAAAATACTTGTTGATAAGTTTTATTTTCTGATAGAAAAATTTATTAGTAATTATCGATAATTATTTATAATTATTGACAAATAACATCTAGCAGTATTTATTTGTAAATAAAAATACTCTTGGATAATTATTAACAAATTTTGGTTATAAGTAGAATTTAATCCATAAATATTATGTTTGATCTTGTTTTCCTTTCGTCTCCTTCTTTTTTTTCTCATTTTTTCTTCTTTTTTTCTCTTCATTTTCTTCTGTCTATTATTCCTTCGTCGTCATTATTATTGTAGTATCCATCCTCGTATTCATTGTTGCGTTTGTCGTCTCCAACTTTTCCTTTCCGTTATGATTTATTTTCCTTTCTTCTCCTTCTCTTCTTACATCTTTGTCATCAGTTTATGATATTCTATTTCCTTTCATTTATCAAAAAATTTTAAAATTGACACCACAATTTTACTCACAAACTTATTAACTAATTTTTAAAAAATAAAATTACCTATATATTTGTTGAAGATATTTTAAAAGTTTAATTACCAACGAATTTTTAAAAAAGAAAAAGGCATTATTAATAATTTTAATAACAATTTTAATTAATGTATGGAAAGTGTGGGAGTATTTAATTAAAGATTTTGCAACCATCACCACATTAAAGATTTTTCAATTAATGTATGGAAAGTGTGGGAGTATTTAATTTTTAAATGATGCAAAATTATTTAATATTTTTTGTAATGACATGTCCTTATACAGACACAAAATCGAATTTTTCATCCACGACGACGTAGTATAAATGGAAGTGCTGATCACTATTGTCACACCCTACAACTCCATAACCACATTACACTTTTCATTCAATTCTGAATTCACTTTTGTGTTGATATTTTCTTCTGCGAGCATGGGTGAAGCTCCAGTGTTCTTCATTAACGGGTTCTCAAAGTTTGAACACGAAATCCAACAACAGAACCATGTGAACGACCAGAACCATGATTCCTCTTGGTACGAGGAAATCATCGATGAAGATCTGAAATGGTCTTTTAAACTCAACAGGTTCCTCATTACTTCATCCAATTCAATGTATAAAAGTTCAAAACAAAAAAGCTTTCTATAATTGCTTAACCTTTTATTCTTTTCTCTTTTATTTTTTTTCAACAGTGTGCTTCATAAAGCGATTAGTGAATACCAGGATATAACACTCTTAGACACCAAGCGTTTTGGCAAGGTTAACAACTCCTCCTCTTCTTCTCATAAGGCAGAACAAAAAGAAAAAGCAATATTGAGACATCTCAAACAAGTTTGACGTCATATTTAGTGTATCTTATCTATAATTTCATAGTTTATAATGTTTTAACTATAATAAAAATGTGTTAGGTGCTAACCTGAGATGATGGTTATTGATGTTGCATACAGGCTTTGGTTCTTGATGGGAAGATGCAGAGTGCAGAAACAGACGAGTTTATCTATCACGAATGCTTGATTCACCCTTCTCTTTTGTGTCACCCTAAGTACGAACATGTTTCATGGTTGAATCGTGTTAGAGTTCATTAATTCATCATATATGGTGTCTACAATGTTACATGGATTTTCTTAAAACTTCAAATGTTCGCACAAAACGGATTCTTAATTTTAAACTTAACCATTTTATTACAAAATAAGTAAAAATTATTTATCATAAAGTTACAAAAGTTATTTTAATTTTATGATTACAGTGATAATAATTTATTATTTTTTATTATCATAAAAAAATGTAAACAGACACGTATATGTGCATTTTTTTATCAGTATATATTATGATATCAATTATTCTAATATTAAAATTATATGAAGTCTAACGATTAAAGATGCTCTTGCCAAACTTTTTTTTTTATGAAGTCGGAATACTATATTAATCATGTCTATAAATTTATCATTTATTTCTAATGTATGTTATATGAAATTACGTATTACATACACGTTCTCACATAGTTTGATCCTTTTCCTTATAAAGTAGGTATGTGTGACATATTTTTATAGTAAAACATGAATTAATTATGATTTAGCAATGAACCTTGAACAATAATTTTTATTGTGCTTACTTGAAAAAGTGTAGTTTAGAGAATAATAGACATAGGTAGCAGTATATGATAATGGTTCTTGGTAGACATGATTGGGCTATGTACCCTTCACTAATTTGAAGAGACAAATGTTAATGATTGTGGCAGTCCCAAGACTGTCTTTATAATGGGAGGAGGTGAAGGCTCTGCAGCAAGGGAAGCCCTTAAGCACAAGTCAATGGACAGAATCGTTATGTGCGATATCGATAAGGTTTCTTAATTCTCTCTACCATACATTATTCATTTCTTTCTTAGCCGTTCATCAAATTCAAAAGTTAATTATATCCATAATCATATCGACATACAATAAGAATGTTTTTTTTAATATATAAATATAGGCACCCAACTATAAAATATAAGTGACTGTTGTTGGTTTTCTTGTCATAAGTTTATATAGACTATTATAATAGCACCTGAATGATTGACAAGATAATGGGTGTGTTCGGATAATTTTTTATATGAGAAAAATGAGAAAAGAAAAGTTTTTTTAGAAGTTAAAATCAGTTTGAGTTAATTTATAGAAATTTTCTTAATATTTTATTTTTAGATGTGTATAAACTAGTTTTCAAATTATAAAGAAATTTATTTGAGGTTCTGTCTTCTAAAAGTTTTATGGAGAAGTTTGTCTAAATAATCACTGTATTATTATTTAATGAAACAACTTTACAGTCTACTTATTTTACTTGACTCGGATGGTATGGTTCATTGTAAAATAATATATAAAAGAATTAATGCATAATGTTACGAAAAAAAATTAAAAATATATGGTATTAGTTTGAAGTTTGGACTCCTAATTGTTGCAGGAAGTGGTAGATTTCTGCAAAAAATACTTGATTGCAAATAGGGAAGCATTTTCTAATAAGAAGCTCGACCTTGTGATCAATGATGCGAAGTAAGTAACTTGGTGTTTATAATTCTTCTAATCATAACAAATTGGTATTAATATAAGTTTTAAGGTAAGTATTATAAATATCAATAACCTGAACAGCGACACATATGTCAGTGTAAAGGTGATTTTCTTAAGCATTTAAGAGTGTTTGGTATGTGTCTAAACAGTAGAAAGTTGGAAATAACTTGTAAAATTTTTGAAGGGCTGAATTGGTGAAGAGAAAGGAGAGATTTGATATCATTGTTGGAGATTTAGCAGACCCACTTGAAGATGGACCATGTTACCAACTCTACACCAAATCCTTCTATGAGAACACACTCAAACCAAAGTTAAATGATAATGGCATTTTTGTCACCCAGGTAGTTATGACAAACTTTGTTTTCATAATCACATACTCAACAGAGTTTGACAAAAAAAATTGCATATTGTGTAGGCTGGACCAGCAGGTATCTTCACACACAAAGAGGTTTTCACTTCCATATATAACACAATCAAACAGGTCTTCAAATGTAAGACTATCTAATTCATGAATTATAGACATCATTAACAGAGTCAAAATAACACAGGATGTTCTGTTTAAACTGAAACTACAGAGATTTTTTTTTTTTTTCGTACAGATGTCATTGCATACACAACTCATGTACCATCATTTGCTGACACATGGGGATGGGTCATGGTATGTGAAAAATAAAGCCTTGTTTCCTTTTGTACTAAAATGAAGTGCTCATAGATATTTTTTCACAAGAATTTTATGCTTTTCATTTAGGCTTCGGATCAACCACTATCAATTTGTGCTGAAGAAATGGACAGAAGAATTGCAGAAAGAATAGATGGAGAACTTCTCTATCTAAATGGTGCTTGGTTCCATTCATCCACAACCATGAATAAAACTGTTTACCAATCGTGAGTATTTGTAACTCAAATCCATAATCTCAGATCAAACCTAAGACCCATGTTAACTTTCCTTTCCACAACATTATTCAAAGAACAATTGATATGTTGATACCAACATAGTCACTTTATTGGATTTTTGACATGATCATATTATCATTGTTGCAGTCTGCAGAATGAAACTCATGTGTACACAGAAGAAAATGCTAGATTTATTCCTGGGCATGGAATGGCTTTTCGTCTCTAACTTTCAAGCCATAGATTGAGGGGTATTGTTTTGACCTATAGGATGCATTATTAGTTTCATTGTCATTGAATTATTATCTGCTTGGACTCTCTTGGTTTTTACGGTTTTTTCTTTGAAAAATGGGTTAAATAGAAGCAAGTGTTTATAAATTATCTTCAGTATTAATTCAAATAAATAAAGTTAAACCTTTTTTATAGTTTTCAGTTGAAACTGCGGGGTTAGAGGTATAACAACTCACTAATTATATTATCAGTACACTCAAAAAAGTCTCACATTGTTTAATAATTAAGACACATTGGAGATTATGTATGAACAAGAGATAAAGTAAATTTGTAATGTATAAAATGCAAAACCTTATTTATATGCTAATTTTATAAGGTTAAATTAAACTTAAAAATTTACTTATTTAATATGATAGTAGAATTATTTCTAAGTATTTTAATAAGATTTAAAAACTTTGTTGAATCTACAATGTGGTAAAATCATTTATTAAAGTCTAATCTTTAAAAATGTATATGTGTTGAGTTGAAGAGAGTGTATTGGAGATTTTAAATTTACGCGTGTTTACATAGTCCAAACAGACAAGCCTTTCAATTCAATGAAACTATGAATGGAGCAACCTTTGAGGTCGAATACAGAAACTCTTGTATACTCTGACTCTCACCTCAAATCATTGCGCGGTAGAGTCCAGCTTTAACTTGGAAGTTGATAATCAGAGGGCACATTCCATTTTTGTACTTCTTGCATCTTTTCATTTGTAAATTGGTGTTAGACTATTTGCTGTACAGAGATATCGAAAGGATGGACATTCAAAACAATAAGAACAGCAACATCAATCAAATCATTCGAACAATTAATGTATTACTATTGTCTGCAATTGCCTTAAGTTATTCAATTTATGCTCTTCCTTCAAAGCAATGAACCATGACAAAGAAAACGTCTCATTTTTACTTCATTAAGCAGAGAATAGCACTTCATAAAGAACTTAACACTCATTTGATATGAAGTTTTTCATAAATTTAAGAAGCCAGTTAAAACAAGTTGAATAATTTCATTCAAGTAAACTAAACTTAGTGTAGCATATATAAATAGTTGCATAAACTACAAGGAACACAAAATGTTAAAACACGGGAAAGAATGAGCTTAAGAAAATGTTCAAATTTATATTTTGCCGCAGTTGATTTGAATTTGATTTTTAAAAAGAACAAATTTAGTTGTATTAATGTTTTAGTAAATAATTTGATTTAAATTACTTAAAAATCATTTTTTAATCTTGATTTATATTATATATATATATATATACACACACTCTTTTGTAGGTATTCAAAGGTATATAGATATAAAGAACACTCAAGAATATATTTTTACAAATATCAAATAAGTAACTGGACAAATTAATTTTGATGGGTGGTTAGAATTACACATTATTACTACAAACAAAATTTTACCGTAAAATTTTAAAATTTAAATTATTGACAAAAATATCTATCGATAATAAATGTGTTTGTATGATTTGTTGATAAATTACAATTTGTATTGTCAATAGATAGATCCATAATGTATCTAATGATAAATGAATGATAAATTTTATCAATTGCTTAGGGAGTGAATCTGATAAGGATTAACCTTAGTCCTAAGTATATCTATTTATGATTGAAAATCACTCACATATTGTTTATTTGAAAATGTTGGTATTTTTATTTTTTAGGATTTTATAATTTTTTTATATTTTGGATTTTTTTAAATACGTTATATGTCACGTCTCATTAATTCGGTGATGATTCACCACTGTGCTTCCATAAATGCACCCATGTCCCACGTGCACTCCATTAAAACGCACTCACTTTCCCTGACCCTTCTCTTCCATGTGTCAAATTGGAAGGTTCTGAACTCAAGTCTGGAAGCCAGGTGTCAGTGCATGAGGGAACGTCCGTTTGCCTTGGGAAGAGAATTAAAATTTTTTCTGAAACACTCTTCCCCTTCTCTGCTTGCACTTTCATCTTCCTCAGAAATTCAGAACCTCCATTTTCTCCTCCTTCTCTCTAGAACCCCCTTCTTCTCTCTTCGGTAACTTACCACCCTTTTACTCCGTTCACGTTTCAGCACCGTAGAAACGTCCCCTGCACCGTGAGCTCCATATTGGACCGAACAACTTCCGGTTCTGGTAAGTTTACACTGGGACGCTCTTTTCTGGAATTCTGCAACCAGTTCCGTCTGCATGCATAGGTTTAAACCGAGCTCTTTATGTTTCTTTTAGTTCTAGTAGAAGAGTTCAAGAGAAAAGTTGATAGAACCATATTTGGACAAGCCAAGACCACTCGTTTTAGAACGATCACTACTAATCCGGGTAAGGGAAGCTTATTAAGTTTAATTCTTGTAATTTACTGTGATGCATGAATGTACTAGGAATTACATGTTTTGTATTATATGAGCGTTCTGAAAATCTGTATGCAGTATGATGTTTGATATTGGATTTTTGGAGTATATGAGTATGATCTGAATTGATGCATGGAAATGATGAAATATTCTATGGTTTGATTAAATTGAAAATGATCTGTATGATGAGATGATGCATGAAAATGTATGGATTTGTATTATGATTTGAGTAAATTGATGTATGAAAGTCTGTACTGGAAAATGTGTATACTGTAAGTTGAGTTTGAATATCTAAGTCTATGAAAATAAACGTTCGTTATCGAAACGGTCTTTGACCATTCGGTATTCTCAGTAAATTCCTTGAAGTAGTCGAACCCTTTCATTTGGAAAGGATTATCCTTGAGGACGAACGCCCTCTTATACATAACTTTACGTTTGAACGTTCGGCCAAACGTAGACCTCATGAGTGTGGTGTGAGAAATTGAGAAGCTGAAAATCTACCTGTGTAACACTTAGTCAAATTGTTAAAACATAAACTTTAAGTATCTCATCTTATATAAATCCCAATTTTCTATGATTTTGAATCAGCGAATAGCCTCGACACGAAAAGGCTACTCCTAAGTGCGCTCGGTCTTATTACCGTAACGCTCGTCCTCCAAAGCGTACTAAAGGCGTTCGGCACGAAGAAGAAAAAAAGACCGTACAAGCAAAAGAACACCCTCTTGTACTGAACGTTCGTTCCTTCGGTATTTTAACTACGACAGAATAGCGTTCGTCCTAATTTTCATAGCGTTCGTCCTAACTTATAGCGTTCGTCTAACTTTCAGTAATTGTGTTCCTCGGTGTCGTCCATTCTGGCGGCGCTTATCCAACTAAATTGTATTTAGTACATTTAGTACTCGTATTTTATCTTCATTCAACTGAATATAATCTGAAATCTTGTCACGTGAAATTATTCTAAGTATATTTGGAATTGTTCTAAAGGATCCGTTCATTTAACGATTCAAACTTTTTAATACCGTTCGTCATGAAAGAAGACGTCAGCTTTATTCTTCAGAAAAGAAGTCCTTTCGGTCTCGCTTTGACGTTCGTCCCGTTTTGAAGAGGATTGAACGTTCGTCTTTTAATGCAAGTGGAACATAGAATGAAAAGTATTTAAGAGGAAGAATTAAGATGTGCGAACACATAATAGTTGAAATGTGATTGTGGTTTTTGAACGAGCGTTCCAGGTGAGAACGACTCTTGAATGGAAATTGAGATTTGTAAGTATGAACGTGGTAGCTTAGATGGTGGTTCATCCTGATATTCCGTGAGTGCTCGTTCTCAAGTAGAGAGGAGGAGGTCATGCGTGGGAATGGCAGGAGGTCTAGTCCATAACTGTAACTTGGACAGAACAGACTAACCTCAGGTGGCTACTGATGAGCATTCCAGTTACCCCACCTGAGTGCACGGACGCCTTAGCTACACAGGATTCATACAGTCCGGACGGTCGGTCTAGTATCAGGATTTGGATGGGATTAATGTATAAATTGAATGTATATGTTGTGAATTTACTTGCTGAATTTGATAACTGTGAAATATATGTTTGACTTGAATTAAATTCAATAAGCTTACCCTTGCATTTTCCATTGTGTTGTCTGTATATGTATATCCGTCTTGTCCTTGCAATGATCATCCGTGTGGATGTGAGCAGAAGGAGATGCTTCTCTGGAGCAAGCGCTTGAAGAAGAAATCATAGCTGAGGAGAATCTCGTAGAGGTAGAAGTGAAGGCCGAACAGTAGTGCGTTCGGTTTTTAGTTAGTGTATTTAGGATAGCGGACCGCTTGTGAGCGAGCGCCCTTTTACTTGATGTAAATACTTGGACGTTTGGTACTTTATTTTGTAAACTGTTCGTCCTCATTGTTTTGTAGACGCTCGTAACTTATGAATGCATTTAAGGCCGTTCGGCTATTCTCGAATTTAATCCTTGTTATTTTAAGACTGTTTTGCCATATTAATAAATGTGATTATTCTAAGTATATAGTTGATGACTGTATAAATTTTGGGATGTTACATTATACGATGTGAATAGTTTAACAAACATAAACATAGGTGATGGATAAAACTATATATTTTTTATTTTTGATGATTTTATATATATTTATATTTAATATGGTTGAGAAAAAATGAAGATATTAAGTACTATGATGATGATGTGGACGATCATCCGAATACTCATATCTTTAAAATATTATTCAATTATTTTCAAAAAAAAGTATTAAGCATTAAAATGATGTGAACTATCAAAGAGTACTTATACTTTTAAAAACATTATTCCATTATTTTAAAAAAGATATTAAATACTAGGACGATGATCACACGAGTACTCATGTTTTTATAAACACTAAAAAAACATTGCATGGTTGTACAAGGAAAGACATTCACATTTCAGAAACACTTTTTTTTTTAATTACATATTTTCTACCTGCATATGCCACGTCATTCAGAAAGAGACATGTTTAAGAAAACCCAACATAAATAAAGATTATGAGAATGGTTAAACATTTTTTATCTATTGTTCAAATTACTCAAAAACTTTTATTAACTTTATCCTTAGATACATTGACTTTTATCTCTAAATCTCTTAATACAATACAAAATTTATCTTCAAATTTATCGAAATTTATTCGGTTACTCTCTTCCAAATTCATCTTTCGACAGGAACACACCCTTCAACTCAACATGTATAACTTTTTTTATTTGAAAATGTTCTCAAATATTAAATATCACATTATGTTCGTGGGAAACTTTTTTTTTTGGA